ATTCTTTCATACCTTAAGAATTAATTGTGTCGTAGTACCTTACTGTCTAAGAGAAAATTGTAAGGAATCTACAAAAACGTTTCTATTTCCTACCCTTCTTTCTCAGATTGCTATTTCCCATTTTCCTCTAGCTACTTTCTTCCAGTTTTACATCCCTTCCTCTCATTCTTCTTAGTTAGGTAACTTCTTTCATGTCTCCCACGTTTACATTAAATTTAATAGAGGACATTCCCAGTAAGAGAAGACCACTTTTTCCTTTTCTAAAGACAGGTGACCTGGGTTTGAATCTTGGTTATCATTTCCTAGCCCTGAGACGTGCATCAAGACATTTGCACTCTCTAACTCTCAAGTTCCCTAGTCCAAAAAATAAGGCCTTTAATAGGTGCCTTATTCTGTTGAGTAACAAAAACCAGTGCTAAGTGACTCATCCCCAAGTGCCCTAACTGCCCAGAGCCCAGTGCCATGATGCCTCATCCTTTGTTTTTTTTCATTCCTGTCTGGGACATCTCTCGTGCTAACTCCATCAGGACACCAAATAGTCATGCTGGTTTCTTTCTCAGCCTCTCAGCCCACATTCTCTCCTCACAAGGATTTTTTGCAATGTGTATATATTCAGACATAAGTGTTTTTAACATAGTATCAAATTATATCCCATTTAAAACCCCGAGCCTTTGTATGGTATGTCTTTGCTTTCCTAACATTGAGGGTACATTTCCATTTAAATTCTCACTTGAAAATCTATGGCTCCTTCTCCAGCGTCTTAATTTATATAATTACAACATTATATTTTATTTCTCTCTTCAGTTGCTATTATTTATGTTGTTTCCCTTAATTTGGATTGATGGCACAGAAGTTTATTTTCTCCTTACTTTCTCTGTGTGACCACAGCAGAGCATTTCTTCTTGGCCTTATCTAAACTGTTTGATTAGCTGCTAATGTGCAAAATCATTAGTGGGGGATTCAAACTGCTAAAATAAAGAACTGATGAATTCCAGCCCACAGGCCACAGTTCAGTCTCTTCAGCTGAGTGCTTTTTCTAAGAAGCAAAGAAAGATCATCAGCGCTCCAGGCACTGTGAAATGTGCAGGGTATTATTATATCCTGTAAAAAGTTCAATGTGGTTGAAATAAAGACTTCTCTGCAACATATAACCCGGGCTAGCTGCTTTAGAACACCAAAAAGCACTTTGCTATAGCAACCCTGTAGGCAGCTCTGTAGGTTGACATCCATTTGTGAGCTATTCAATGGTTACCTTTCTGTGAATTACAACAGAGCTTATAAACTAGTTTATTTGACAGATTGTGTGCGTGTATGTGCATGTGTGTGTGTAAGATTGTGTGTGTGTGTGTGTGTGTGTGTGTGTGTTTTAGAGTATTTCAAATGAGAAATATGGCTACATGAGAGAGAGAGAGAGAGAGAAGGGGGGGAGATTTTTCTCATTTAAAGAAATATCAAGTTATTTTCTTACTTGCCCTGTGTAGCTACCGGGGGCCAACTGTTAGTTACATGAAGCTCCTAGCATCCCAAGTGAAGGGATTAGGACTGGCCCACCAATCATTTGAGTGACTGAATGTTCCAGTTTAAACATATGGCCGTCTGTTAAAGGGTATCACAAAAGACTTTTAATGTAACGGTCAGGCCTGTTGTGTTGTGCTTAATTTCTTTAAAGCTGTAATCTTCTTAAGAATTCTAGAGTTTTATTACTTGCTTTTTACGTTTCTAAAGTAAATTGATATATTTAAATGATGCTGATATAAGTAGAATGTCATCTTTGGTTTTTGTTCTGTCATGTTTACTTTGAGTTTTTTCTCTGTTTTGGGAGGTGGTCTTTAAATGAACAGATTCTCTAAACAGTAAATTCAAGAACTTGTCTAGTCACTGAGATCCTTAATGGATATAGCAGAATTATAATACCATGAATAATGATCATAAGGCTGTATACCAGGGGTCCTCAAACTTTTTAAACAGGGGGCCAGTTCACTGTCCCTCAGACCATTGGAGGGCAGGACTGTAGTTTAAAAAAAAAACTATGAACAAATTCAGCAACAGGCAGCGGCGGCAAAAACACCCGGTGGGCCGCATAAATGTTTTCGGCGGGCTGCATGTGGCCCGCGGGCCGCAGTTTGAGGACCCCTGCTGTATACTGTAGGAAAAGTGGCTAGTCTTAAGCATCACATAAAATGCCCTCTGAACACACTAATGACAGGGGGGTAATTTGTGGTAACCAGGAGTCCTAAAAAAGCACACAAACTAAATTGTTGTTACGTTGTAATATGATACTGAGAAGAATATATTGATAAATTGAAAGATCTGATATTTTCTGTGTATCCAATTTTTTATTGAAAATACCTGATTTATTTATTCAGTAGCTTATTTAGTTTTGTTACTTTTTTTTCTTGGTTCCTTCATTTGCTATTTCACAATTTACTATAATACCACACCAAGTGAATAATAAAATGAAAGGGGATGATCCTCATATGAGTTAGCTACTATTTATTACCACCAGTAGAAATTTGACATTTCTAGATTATGAGTAGGGATGCCCACACACAAATTGTGTTTATGACAGCAACGCATCAATGACTTGATACATTTTTTTCCTATATTTGTGGGCAGTACACAACAGTGTCATTGCTAAAGGATGCTTTTCTTCTGCCTATTCATCAGCTACAACAGTTTCATTCAATCTGACTGACATAGGAGGTGGGTCTGGGTTATTTATATTTCTTCCTTACCAGAGCTTGGTTTTTTGGAAGCCAAGTTTAACATTTCAGGTTCTTGACTCTGAGAGACATGGCTTCCAGGGAGTTAAAGTTTATATTTTGAAATATTTGAGTGCAGGATTAATATGCTGGCGCTATAAAAATAATTTTAAGAGTTCAGTATCTATTCCTGGGGAAGGGGGTCTCCTTTGTATTTTCTCCCCATCTATAAGTTGTACGAATGTTATTTCCTAAAATAGTAGGACCCTAAGACCAGAGATTTAGGACTGATGGTGATTATTTAAGTGAATGACAAGACAAACCAAAGGGGTAGTTATCTTCCAGAATTATTGCCACCCATTTCTTGAGGAAATCGTGAACAAGTAAATATATCAGGCTTCTTGTTCGGTTTGTCATTTTACAAATAAGAGGTGACAATAGGTATGCTGAGGTCTGATCTGCTCCCGGTTTATCGGGATATACAGTTGGCCTGCACTATTACTACCTGTCAATAGTGGGTCAGGTCACTGTCTACATGTGCAGTGATAGCACTTGGTGAGAATTATGAAGATATGGCAACTTTCCATATTACTGACTCCTATGTGGGGACTAGTAATATACTAGTATATTCCATGCCCAAGCAAATAAACTGCAAGAATAAAAAAAATTAGGAAATATAAGAGGGAAATCTAAATATAACCAGTTGATTTTTATCAGGATCAGTCTCGTGGTTATGATAGTGTACTATAGTTGTACAAAATGCTACTGGGTAAAGTGTACAAGGAATCACTCTGTATTATTTCTTACAACTGCATGTGAGTCTACAATTCTCTTAAAATTTCAATTTAAGAAAAAGGGAAAACAGATTTTTAACTTCTTACAGTCAGGGAAAGCAAAATTCTCACATAATTTAGATTGCCATTGTGCCATTGTAAAGAACTGGAATTTTTAAATAATGAAGAATATAAGACTTACACTATAAGAGACAATAAATGAAGAGACTTCATCCTATTACACACGAATGTGAAACTTACAGCATACTGCGAGTCTCAGATATGCTGAACTGATGTTACTGATGTTATCCAATCTCATGGTCAAGTTGGGAAGAAAACATCATTGATGACTGAGTCTGGTACCTTTGTTTTCTAGAAAATTAGTGATGATGTCTTTAGTATAAAAATTCATATTGAGAATACTTTCAGATATAACGTAAACTCTTTGGTATTGCACAGTAGTAAAAGAGAGAGTTCAAGTTTGCCATTTACCAGACTTTCCTGACTTAATAACACCTTGTGCACTGCTAATAAAATGTCATGTTTCAATTTCAAAATGATCCCATGAATATCTTATAAAATCTATTCTGTTAGTGATGTCACTTCCACTTCATAAACCTATGTATATTTTTCTATATATCGTGTGGTTTTAACCACACATAATGGCATATGTAACCAGTATTACTTCAGTTTCAGGTTGACAAAGCTGAATCAATATTTTGTACTTAATTGAATGGGTCATTAATAAGAACTACCTCAGGGACTTATTGTTATCTTTCAGGAAAAATATACCCAAAAGACTATAACAGTCAAGATGCTCACGTAATTGTGCGATGTATATTCTTAATAGCAACAGATTATATTTTGAAATTTTTGTTCCACTGGGACTCTACATAAGTTCCATAAAAATACCAACCAACTAATCAACAGTTATATGTAGATTTGAGCAGTCTAGTCTGTTGGTTTTCCAAGTACAAATATGTCTCCATAAATATTTAATGTCATTCAGATTTTTTTCATTTGATGTGTATGTTGTATCTATGGCTAGTACAATAGCAACCTATTTTTTATCACTACACTTCCTGCTATCATTTATACTTCCCTTATCACAGAGAAAATTAAAGTAAGCTCTGGTTTCTTTTGTAATTTGAAAGAAGATAACTATTAAACCTTTTAAAAAATATTAGTTACTTTAAGAGTTATAGGTAGTGCTCCTCAAACCCTCTTGCCTATGAATCACATGGGGATGGTGTGAAGCTGCAGGTTCAGATTCAGTGGGATCTGAGACCTTGCATCTCCAGGCAGCTCCCATGCTGCTGCTCCAGGGCCATTCTGAGCGGCACAGTTCTGCAGGCTGCTGGTGTGTGTGTATAACCCAGGATGCTGAAACGTCCAGGACAGAGTGAAGTCAGATACATCTGAGCTCTTCTTTTTATTCTGTATTTGGAATCTCAAGTAAATTGTCTGCATTCTCAAGTTCATTGACTTGGTTTATTTATTTTTTATTCTAATGCTTTTCTTAAAGCTCTTTTGACAGCCAGTTTGTTTACCAGCAAAGAGGACTTGGGCCAATTGAAGAAGACACTATTCTTGTCATCGATCCAAATACTGCTGCAGTACTCCAATCCAGTGGGAAAAATCTGTAAGTTAAAGTACTTATGTTGTTACTAAGGCGTGTACTACATATAGTGTTGGGTACAAAGTGCATCATTGGGTCGGGTCTTGGGAAGAGTGTGTTTTATAGCAGTGGTGAGAAAGCATAGCTTAAGAAAGCAGGAGGCTGGCCTACCCAGTTTGGCTCAGTAGTTAGAGTGTCGACCCTCAGACTGAAGGGTAGTGGGCTCGATTCCGGTGAAAGACACTCACATACCTCGGTTGTAGGCTTGATCTCTGGCCCCAGTTATGGCGCTTGTGGGAGGCACCAATCGATGTGTCTCTCTCATATTGATGTTTCTCTCTGTGTGTGTCTCCCCTTACCTTCTACTCTCTCTAAAAATCAGTGGGAAAAATATCCTCGGGTGAGGATTAACAACAAAAAAGCAGGAGACTAATTGGGCCATCTCATCTTTCAATTTCTAAGTAACATATTCTAAACCCTGACTGACTATTAAAATCACCTGGGAGCTTTTAAAAATAGATTCACATATAGTCTGGGATGAGGCCTGGACATCAACATACTTTTAAAACTCCCCAGGTCATTCTCATCGGTAGTCAGGCTTGATGCACGTAACTAATGGAGTTGTGCTCAGCTACATCTGAAGATTTTTTAAAAATTATGTAGCAGAAAAGTTATATAACCAAACTCATCAAGTAAATACTGTTAAGGAAAAAGGTGTTTGTCTTTCCATCTCCAAGTGAAGACTGAACAAATGTCCTTTTAATCTCTCCTCAGCATGCATGGGTAATTTGGCTTTGAAAGCCACTCATTGTTTGATCTTATTCCTGGATGGCATTTGGCAGCCAAAATAAAAAAAAAGTTGGCTGACACTTTATGGCATGGAAAAAAGGTCACCTGCTTACAGAGCGTCCTCAACCATTTGAACTGGCATCTTCAGGAACTGTACCCTCTCCATCTGCTTGGGCACAGAGAGAGCCAGCTTCTTTGAAAGGCGGGGAGCCACCGCTTCGGATGCAGCTGCTTCTGGAGATGGCAGGAATTAGATTTGTATAGGATTCTAAGATTGGGAGTCGGGGAACAAATTTTAATACCAGCTCCCCGACTCAGTGCGTCTGAGCCTGTCTCCTTGCTGCGCCACCCATCAGTCAGAAGTATTCTCATTCCAGAAAGGAATTAAAGAGGAGGCAGAGCAATGGCTGCTAAAGGAAGTTGGCCCCCATTGGGGTATTAGGTCAGAAGCATATCATAGCTCTCACATTCAGTCACCAAAACAGGGATCTAGTTCAGTGAATTAATCAATATCACAGCCTTGGCTACTGAAAAAAAAATGTGTAGGCCAGAAGCTGACAAACGTAGCGTGGAGATTGCCCGGTGTCTTTTGACCACACCATATTAAGATATTGTCCATGTGTTTGTTAATTCTGTCCAAGTTCCTTAAGCCTGTGAGCTTCTGTCTACATCAGTTTACAATTCACTACCCAGATCATCCCAATTGATTGTTAAATAGATTAACCTTCTCTAATGATTATCTGGCACACCACTTCACTTTGCTTGGATAGGCACAGCCCATGTCTGCTGGAAGTTGTTTCTGTTTGTTTGTTTGTTTGTTGTTTTTTTGGAGGGGTTACTGTCTTTAGTAGGCACTCTTAAAGGTTTTGAGTCATAGATTGATGTCCTATATTACTACAGAATTATATTATCTTGCAGTATATTTAAATGATTCGAACCATATAAATCCATTTCTATTTCTCTAGACAAATTTGTTTATGCACATTTCTAAGATGATAATATTTATGATCTTAGAACTTGTTTTTAAATTGATGTTATTTGTATTTAACATACCATACTTTACAATAAATATTTGTAATTTATTTATATATACATTTTTAAATGATTAACTACTGTTTAAGATTTGTCATAAGGATATCTCTTTTTATAACAAGTATTTTCATTTAACATTTATTTTGGTCTTTTCTATTGTAATGCTGGTATACATTTATCAATTTATTGATTTTTATTGCCTTTATAGGTTAATTACCAAAACATTCATGGTACACTTGCTTTAGAAATTAACATATATTTAAGACAGTTATTCTTATTTTGCAGGTTTTACTTGCCACACGGCTTGAGTGTGGATAAAGATGGAAATTACTGGGTCACTGACGTGGCTCTGCATCAGGTAATTTATCTTCCATTTGGCAGTTATTCAAGTAGAAGTTCATGAAGTTATGCTTTCAGAATGCTCTGCCTTACCTGTGTTTTTCCTGTGACCCAGTTAGTTTATAACAAGAAAAAGGAGCAGCCCCATCTCAAATATTTCTCTTAGAAGTTAGTGCTAGGAAAAGCTACTCGTAAATGATCAGATCATCTTTCTTCTTTGAATTGGCAGGAACCTTAGGGCCATCCTCCTTCTTCGCTTCCACATTTCTTTGCTTTTCTCTGTCCTCGGGTCTTAGTTCTATTTCATCCCTTGTGTTTTCTGTTTCCTTTTCCTAATCTTCAGTAAACTGAAGCTATGTCTCTGGTACATACATGTTTATGTATTAAACATCAAAATTCTGTCCTTTTTAAAAGAAGTAATATTTCATTCACAGAATAGTCATAAGTTTTTTCCCGTAGAAGCAAAGTTCACATTTGATACCTGTGTTTAGAGTAGGCAGCAAAGAACTAAGGAAATTAGGGGTGGGGGTGGAAATGCTAGAACTCAGAAGACTAGCTCCCAGGGTCTTCAGACATTATCTCGGTAAACGTTTATTGCTCGTGTATCGTCTGGAGAGCATTGTTAGCTAAGGAAAGATAAGGAAGTGCATGGAATAGGTGTGGATGCAACAGGACATCCTTGTACTAGTCTTCTTTCACTACTGCTTACCTGCATGACCTTGAGCAAACCAATTAATCTCACTTATCAAATGAAGGAATTGGACCAGATGATTTCCAGTTCTTAAAAAGTACCTTGTTTAAAACAAGTCCCTGGGAGCTTACACTCCAGTTGCCTGTGCAAGTGTTCTTAGCCATGTGGGTGTGTGTCAGTAATAACCGTGCAGTGAGGCTGTTGTTCCTTTTGAAAAAGGTGTTCAAACTGGATCCGAACAGTGAGGCAGGCCCTCTGCTAATCCTGGGAAGGAGCATGCAACCAGGCAGCGACCAGAATCACTTCTGTCAGCCCACCGATGTGGCCGTGGATCCAGACACCGGAGCCGTCTTTGTGTCAGACGGTTACTGCAACAGTCGGATTGTGCAGTTTTCTCCAAGTGGAAAGTTCATCACACAGTGGGGAGAAGGTACCCAATAAAACTCTAATTGCAATTCTTAGCCAGTATCACTAGGAACAGGAGATTGGTACCCCTCACCTCCTTCAGGATGCCATTGTCCCCTGTAGTAGAGAAAATAGGGCCTCTATATGCATCTACCTGGCTTGTGTGCGTACACACACACACACACACACACACACACACACACCCCTACATCTTATGAGGAAAAAGAATACTTCTACCCCCAAATTTTGTCCAAATAGAGAGTAAATATCTAATGTGTTTGTGGGTAAGAGATATTAATGGAATAAATGTATAACTGCTTTACCCTATTTCCCCCCTAGTTCCAGATATTTAATGGTTTGCTGTCATGAATATGGAGAACAAAACTGTAGAGTCAGACTTTTGGTGCTATTACAAATTATATATCTGATGTTTTTCTGTGTTTTGTAGAATCTTCAGGGAGCAATCCCAAACCAGGCCAGTTTACTGTTCCTCACAGCTTGGCCCTTGTGCCTCATTTGGGTCAATTATGTGTGGCAGACAGGGAAAATGGTCGGATCCAGTGTTTTAAAACTGACACCAAAGAATTTGTGCGAGAGATTAAGCATGCATCATTTGGAAGAAATGTATTTGCAATTTCATATATACCAGGTATTTCACCTTAATTTATTTTTGTGTTTTGTCATACTATACTTCGTTCTTAAAAAGTATTTGTCTAAGCTTCACATGCTCTTTTTATATTTTTTTTCTTAAGGGACTGAAGATACCTTATATATTAGATCTTAAGATAATTTTAAAACTGTTAGTTTGTTGTAAATCAGTTTCAACTGAAGTTTTATATGAAAAACTCTAAGATTTTATTGTTTGTAATGAGTTAAAATTTTTTTCCCAAATGTTGATTTTTATTTTTCCTTAATTATGATCACCTGTTCTAGTTAGTAAATGATTAATATATGGCTTCACACATCATCAACAGATGACATATGCCTGATAAAATCAGTACTCAGAATACCTCTGACATTTTTTTTAGAAGAGGTGACCAATTTTTTTAATAAAGATAAATATGTAAATTGAGGCTTATGTCTAAATGCTAGGAGGAATGACCAATAAAATCTGGAAATATTTTCTCATTTGCAAAATAGATGACTTGAAGAAAACCAGAAAAAAATTATCCAAACTCATAAAATAAGATCCTCTTGATTCATACTACAAGATAACTTAGCATAATATTTCCTTAAATAATAAATACTTACTGAACATTTTGAAAGGACATTAATTTCTAAATGTATATATAATTTTTGCCATAAGTTTTATTAAATATATCAATATTAAAGTAGCATTGACTATTTACAAGTATCACTATAATATTTATATTTCTTATGCTTTTAAAGTTGCATATAGCTACTGTCTTCCCAAGCAGCCTCCAGTTTATGTAGGACTTGACATAAAGGGACTTGGGTGGCCGGGTAAGGAGCAAGTCTGGCTTCCCCACGGAATAAATAATAAAAAGTGATAAAAGACTCTCATTAATACCCTTACAAGAGACAGTCTCATTTTCATTTTTACCTTATGGTTAAAGAATAAATTTGGCAAGACCATTGACCTAATAAAGAGGATGATCAAGTGTCTAGTGAATAAAAACAAGTCAAATATGAAGAGAAAAGCATCAGGGGAGAAGATGAGAGGAAATCTGATTAAAAACAGAATCTAAGCCAAAGATGACATGTATTACAATTGGAATTCTCTTTACAATATTGCACAAAAGTATTTGATTTTAACAATGTTGATTTTTTTACTGTAATATGCTAAAGAACCCTATTCTGAAATCCTTAAAGAAAGATAAAAATATCTTCAAGAGTGATTTAGTGTTGTGTATATTTTAATTCTTTGAAAATGTAATTTTCAATCATCTGAAGTACTTATTTAACTGAAACATCATAATTTCTATTATTTTGGATAAGCACTACTATACTAAGAAATATAATTTTCCTACAAAGAGTATTCATTGAGTTAATAAAAATAAAATGGTTTTTTTTTAAATTATGAAAAATACATATCTTTGGTCATCTGAAATATGCATCTCACATTTTCAAACCATTCTTCTCCCTATACTATAACTTACTTTCTTAGCATATTTTCCTCTAATTCTTCTCTTTTTTAAATTTTATCTTATTTTCCCCCCGCCCTTGACAATCCCCTGGCCTCCCCTACCCCCCAGTGTCTTATGTCCATTGGTTATGCTTATATGCATGCATACAAGTCCTTCAGTTGATCTCTCACCCCCCTCCCTCCTGCCCCCCAACCCTCCCTGGCCTTCCCTCTAATTCTTCTCTTAACTATAGCAGATATTACATAATTTTTTAAAGATCTGATACTCTAAAATGATTTGCTTAAATAACCTGACTCTTCCCAATACCTATTTAGGATGCCTGTGATATCTATATGTGTCTATACCTATATTTTTATGGCTACTGTCTTCCCAAGCAGCCTCCAGTTTATGTAGGATATATTTTTATGTCATATATCTACATCAATATCTGTATTTATATCTATATCTATATATATCATCTGTGTATTTCTGATATCTCTTGACTTTCTATGTGGAACAGGCCTAGCTTTTTCTGATTTTCCTATTACAAGGAGGTTATTCTCATAACCTGATCTTATTATTACTCAGAAGGAGACATTTGCTAAGTATTTTATTTTATACTTTGGTTGCCAGTTGTAGGGACCAGATTGACCCAGTATTTATTGTTTGTGTAAATGTACATGCATGTCTTTGAAGGCAAGTCTTATTCATATTTCGAAGAACAGTTAATGGAATATCTTGTCACAGGTTTGCTCTTTGTGGTGAATGGGAAGCCTCACTTTGGGGACCAAGAACCAGTACAAGGATTTGTGATGAACTTTTCCAGTGGGGAAATTATAGACATCTTCAAGCCAGTGCGCAAGGTATTCATAATGAGAGAAAATTAATTTTTATGTGAGAAAATTAAAATGCAAACCCTAGCATTTAATTGAGACTTGAATAATCTCTTAAAAGCTTGATGGAGATGTAATCACTTTCTTAGGTAGGTTGGGCACATTCCAAAACAATGTTTTATTTAGAATGAATATCCTGTGTTCTGATCAATTTCTTTAGCTGCAGATTAACACCGAATGTAGTACTAAGGTTGTTAGTAAACACTGTATACAGTGGCAGGTTTAAATTCACTGTAATTAGAATACCAAAAAAATTAAGCTTTCTTCCTAGTAGAGAAGATAACACAGTATGTTAAACTGTACTTCTATAGTTATCTTAGATCCAACAGAAATCTTGTTTGCTTTTTTAATACTATGACTACACTGAGCAACAAGACTTGAAAATAACAGTTCCTGGAATTTATTCAAGCCCTAAAGACTTGGCCTACATAAGAGACGAAAGGCTAGTTTTGGCTTCACAAATGGTTTACCACTATTAACTCTAACAGTGTCTTTTACAAACACGGGAACTGTGGCCCAGTGTGCCCACTATCTTCTCAATTTGCTTTCTCTGCATATGACCAGAATGATCAGAATGTTCACACCCACTGCCTGAATATACTTGTGGTACCTCAATTTTAGAAAATTCAGCCTGCTAAAATATTGCAGGCTGAATTTTTTTAAAAATGTAAAGATTTTATTTTTTAAGAGATGTAAAGATTTATTGGGCTTATTTGGATCAAAATATAGGTATCATAAGCCACCAGGCAAATTGCATCTCCATACTCATAATGCTTATAGTATTCTTTAAGATATCAACTTTGCTAGATTAAAAAAATACTTTAAAATGCCTCAATATTTTAGAAATGTGCCTGTTAGAATATTGACAGCTGGTCTGGGGTTTATCAGAATTCATTCTCAAGATATTTATTCAGTGCCTACTCTGTGTTAGGTATTATCCTATACACTAAGGATATGATGAACAAAACAGGATATGCCCTCTCACTCAAATGGAGTTTTAACAAGAGCTACAGAATCTGATTGGAAGCAAACTGAATCTGAACTAAAGATTCCAGTACCAGTTCCCAGTGTGGGTTTCTGTCCTATATAATAAAAGCCTAATATGCAAATTAACCGAACAGCAGAATGACCGGTGGAATGACCAGTCACTATGATACACACTCACTACCAGGGGGAAGATGCTCAATGTAGGAGCTGCCCCCAGCCCTCAGGCCCAAGGCCAGCCAAGGTGGGTGCCAGTGGGGGCCCTCCAATCACCCCACTGGTCGCC